GCCGCCGGGCCGCCGGGCCCCGGGCAGCTGGCTGCCGAAGCCTGATGGAAACGGTATTTGACAACGCGGACGAGCAGAAACAGCATGGACCGTGACTTTTTCTCGGTGAGCGAGGCTGGGCGAGGGTGGGTGCCGCTCCGAGCCGCCGCTCCGCGCGACCCGGGACCCGGCTCATGGTGACAGATACGGGGAAGGAGCGCGCACTCCGAGACCCACCCCGGCCGGGCCCGACCGGACCGGCCCACCTCGGGACAATGACATGTCATGTGTGCGGCGAGCCGGGCGCAGCTGGGCCGGGCCAAGGGCCACACCGCCGTGGCGGGGTAGTAGGGCCACAACAGTGACAGGCAAGGGCCACTCTCTGCTTCGCCTGCAGCGCCATCGCGCGGGGACGGGAAAAACATTGGTGCTTTTTGCGCGCTTTGGCGGCATCCATCGGCTCCTAATCCATTACAGTAACGGCTGAAGCGGTCCGCGGAGCGAGGCGCGCTCTGGAAGGCATGATGCCTCGCGTGATGCCGTCCACCGGCCTTTTCCGCGAGTGCGATTGGAAAAGTTGGAGAGGTTTCTTCTCGGCGGACAAAGAGCGCCGAGGGGGGGGGGGACCTCGTCAAAAACAATAAAGGCTTGGAGGCTGGCTAATCGTGTCGTCGGTGAGCTCGTAAAACCGGAACCGGGAGGGAACCGAACCACGGGAGTGGCGGGCCGCCACGGCACTGTTACGGCACTGCCACGGCACTGCCACGGCACTGCCAAAGCACTGCACGCCCCACGAGGCGACGGGCTGCCTCACTGCCTGGAGCTTCCAGTGCCGGGGGATACACACCGAGGTCACCGTGCGGTGGGGGGGTCAGCACTTTACATCACTTTGGGTTAGCCAACTCCCAAACTACGGCACGGAGCGGCGCGCGGTCGGGACAGCGACAGCCCCCACCCCCGCAGAGGCTGAGGGAGTGCCGAGGGGGGAAGGGGAGGGGGGCGAATCGGACGGCTTTTCCCTGCGGCCGCAATTCGATCAGACTGGAACAGGGGACTCGAACGAACTGCAAGTTTGGCGAATTATTTCGAAAAGTCGCCGCCAATTACGTCGTCCGGCGGACTGGATCCGAGAGTCATTTTCGTCGCTCCGTCTCCTCGCGCCTGTAGGGGACGGCCCATGAGTGCGAGAGAGGCCGACGGAGGCAGGGCGGCGGAAGGAAGCTCGGCGAGTGGCAGTGCGGTCCGGGGGGAGCGGCCGGCCCGGCGGCCTGGAGGCCTGGGGTGATGAGCTGCCTGCTTGAGGAGTCGGCCGGGCTGGGGCCGCGCCGGGCCGCCGGGCCACCCAGACGGACCCAATTCCAGGCACCTCGGCCCGCCTCGGCCCCTCCGCAATTGGCCCGGAAGACTGCCGTGAGCATCCCGCCGGGAGCGCCGAGGGCCAGACCGAGGGCCGCCGCCCTTGTCCGCCACCAAGTGACCAGTCAGGCGACAAGGCGTCGGCCGTGCCTCGGCAGCCACCCCTGGGGTCGGCGGTCGCACCGCCGTCGCACCGGGCACGTAATCAAGGGGACAATGAAAACTCTTTGGCGAAAAAAAGAGGGCGCCTCGTTTTCATGCATAAAAACATGACAGGCGTGGGCTGCGCGGCGCGGCGCTGCGCGGTGCTGCGCGGGGCGCGCGTGTTTTGGGGGAATATCACCGCGTCAACGCGGCCCTCAGGTAGCGGAGTAACAGGTGAAGTGAAGTGTGCTGGCGCGGCGCGGCGGCGCGGCCGGGTGCCGCCGGTGGCGTGCGAGGCCGGTCCCACCCATGCGTGCCCCCTCTCGCCCCGCCACCCCCGCCACTCCCTCCACGCCCCACTGCTCTATAAATCGGCCCTCCGGATGAGTCGCGGCGAGCACGCAGCACGCAACCCCGAAAGCCAAGAGGCGAGAGCGAGAGGCGCGGTCTGGAAGCCCTTTGTGCGTCAAGGAGGGCTAGGCGAGGAGGGGTCCGGGCCAGTGGGCCAGAAGCCCGACGCAGGCGGCCGAAACTCTAGACGCGTTTTGAGCACCAGAGTGGCGTCTAGAGTTTCGGCCCCTGCGTCGGAAGAGCAATCCATTGGTGGGGTCACTAGTTCGGTTCGAGTCCCATTTAGCGACTCTGGAGCTGCGTCCAGAGTTTTGTCCGCCTGCGCCGGTCTCCTGGTCCACTGCGCGCCCCCAGCCCCCGTGCTCCCCGTGGCTGATTCTCGCTGCTAAGACGGCCATTCGTCGCTTGGCCGGCGGGTCGGCCTTCGGCCTGGCCGACGGTGCTCCATAGCCCTGGCTCCCGCACTACAGCTGCAAGTTTTTCCCTCCAAACGACCCGCCAGCCTCGCAGCCTCGCTCCGCTCCCCGCCCTCGTTCCCCGGCCGGCACGGACATTTACTTGATGTCCTTCGTGCTGCAAGGGGCGCCGCGCCGGGCCGGGGGACGCCCAGGGACGCCCAGGGACGCCGTCGTCCTTTCAGTTTTCGCCGTGACACGGTTGTTAATTACGCCGGTAAATTCCCGCCGGCAGGCTTGCCTGGGCTCGCCACGGCCAGGTTTATTTTCAGCCACCCACAATTAATGAGGGTTTAAGAAAGTGCAGTTACTCGGCGCGCTACTCGCCCGCTGCCGCCCCCGAACACAATGTGTACTGTACTTTGCAGCGACTCTGCTTTACATTCATATTTGTTTCGATTCATGCACAGTTTTGCTCCGTGCCGTAGTACACTTTCGCGTGTTTTGGGCGGGGGGGGGGGGTTAGAGAGCGTGTTTGTTGAATGTTGGGCAAAAAACTGCTGTCATAATATATTTGGCGCAGACAGCTGGAACCTCTGGGACCCCCGTGACAACACATGTGTCATTCCTTTCTCGATTTATAACGCGTGCGCTTCTTGGCTCGTGGTTTATACATGAGGGCTTGCTGGCGGCCAAACATTTTTAAAATGATAATAAATATGGGCGGCGGTGATGCCTGCGAAGTAGCCGAGGAGGGGTGCTCTGCATCCTGACCAGCGCGCTGCCCTTTGAGGCACCACGGTTCTTCGGTCCCAAACACCTTGCAAAGGTCCGGCAGGGGGGGATGCGCTGCTTTTGTCGCAAGCTGCAGTACAACCAAAATCAAAAATCAAATAATTTAAGGGAAAATCCTCTTTCTTTTAGCTTTATACCTGCTGATCGGTGAAAGGATGTTTTGCCTGCTCTCGTTGCTTCCCGACGGACGCTGAAACAAAAGTGGTCCGCTGCGCTGCGCCGCGTCCCCGGAGGCGGCTCGCCCGGCCCGACCTTAATGAAATATGGAGCTGCACCGGCGGAACCGGGAGCCAGGCAGCGCGAGCCAGAGCCAGGCAGCCAGGCATCCCTGCCGGAACCGGACGCATTCCGATTGGCCTGCTCGCCGCGGCTGGCCGGCGGCCCGGGCGTGTCAATGGCAGCGTCCCTTCCTTCCGGCGGGCATTGCCCGGCGTGGCCCGGCATTGCCGTTACATCGGGACGATTTAGCCCGCTTCCCCGCCGGCGGCGCTTTTGTGAACGTTCTCCCGCCCAAAAAAAAGGGAAAACAACATAATAATGCGCTCGCCGGCTATGCGGGATGGTCGGATCATTTCCGGCCAGGCAGCGTCCACCGGGGGGATCGCCCCTGCCTCGGCACGCCGCCACGGCGCCACGGCCGGTCGGGGATAGGTATTCCTGGAGTTGGCGGAGGAATGCCGAATGGGAGGCGGCCACTCCGGCCCCGCTTGTTGTTGTTGTTGTTGTTGTTGTAGCTGCCGGGGATTTGAGGTTTCGGCCCAACGCGCCGTGATCGCAATTTCCGACCCCTGCTGGCCGCCTAAGGCCATGTCTGTGCCCGCCGGCCCGTGAACACGAAAAAGAGAAGGCCGATTGGATTTTTCGGTCTTCATCCCCCTGACGATATTATCAGATTAATGTGCGACGCCTCCTTCACGACATTGTGTGCTCAGAGGGGAGGGGTGGGGGAGACGCGGTGAACGGGCTGGGAGACGCTTTCAACGGTGTACTCTCTCTCGATCATGAGATACTACGACGCACCCCGAGCCGACCCACACCCCGGCCGGGCCTAGCCGGGCCTCCCTCCCCAATGCCGAGGTCCAGTGAGCCTTCACGGGGATGTGGGCACCAGGGCAGTGGAGTTGGAGGGGGGCAGGTGGAAAGGGTTGGCCCTGGTTGGCCCGAGGGCTCTCATGAAGCGTTCAGGTCGGCTGCATCCGCGCACCGGGAGGCCGGAATACTCGCAAGACTGCCGCCACGCCGCGCCACGCGCTGCGGCCTTGGACTCGGCCGCTGGCACACTCTGAAAGAAACCGGAAAAGCGCCAAAAACGCGTTTGGACACCACCGCCACTCGAACAGCGTACTCGAAGCAATTTTCAAAATAGCTTTGCATTATAATGCCTTTTCCTTGGATACTGTTGGAGGGGCCCATAAATTCCTATTCTGTCAGGCAGCCTGTGTGCCCCCTTCCCTCCTCTCTCGTTCCCTCTCCGACAGGGTAAAAGGAACGAGAAGGAAGGCCCACTTCGGTAATATTGCCACTTTTAACACCGCCCAGTCCGGAGTGGCCGAAGTGCTGGCAGACGGAGGCGGAAACGTCTGAAGCGGCCGAGGCTGCGGCTGCGCTGGCGAAGGCCGTGGCGGAGGCCGTGGCGGAGGCCGTGGCGGAGGCCGTGGCGGAGGCCGTGGCGGAGGCCGTGGCGGAGGCCGTGGCGGAGGCCGTGGCGGAGGCCGTGGTGGAGGCCGTGGCGAAGGCCGTGGCGGCGCTGGCTCGGAAAATGACCTCATCTAGTTTCATATCCCCGACGAGGACCCTTCTTTATGCAGCTCGCCTGCGTATTTCAAGCAGGAGGCCTCTCTCGATTTCCGCTGCATGAATAGCGATTTTAAAACGTCGCATATTTTGAAATGAGCGAAAACAGAAATAACTCTCCGCAATACATTGGAGCATCTTGCTGTGCGTTAATTAATCCAGGCCCTTTTTGTTTCTCTGTTGCAGAACTTGAAGAACCAGATCATGACGACCAACCTGTGGGTCGAACAGGTAAGCCAGCATCACACTCCTCTCGTGATCCGCTCGACGCCAATTTGCGGTGTGGTCGTCCTGCGCTCCGGTATGCATGGCCTAGATGGCCCGGCAGCCTCCAGGAACCCCGGCGGCAGGGTCCAGCGGCAGTCTGCAGGGCTCCAGGACGTCGTCAGTTACCCTTTCCGTCTACCACTGCCCGACTGTCCCACATCCGTACCCCTGTCCGTCTGATCCGTCTGTCCTTCCGTCTGTCTGTTTGTCTGTCTGTCTGTCTGTCTGTCTGTCCTTCTGTCTGTAGTATGTCTATCTGTCTGTCCGTCTGGCGGACTCTATGCCGCCGCTTGACTGGTTCGTGCCGCCTTCCCACCCTTTTTCCCTGAGCCAGTGAGCGTCGCACGGATCCATACAGTGTATGAGAATGCCGAGTTTCTTGTCGGTGTGTGTGTGTGTGTGGGGGGGGGGGGGGGGGGCTGATCCCATGAGGCGTACGTGCAAGGATAACTGTGTATGAAAGAGGTTGTTTGAATTCCAGGTGTGTGTCGGTGAGTAGCGGAGCTGTGTGAGAGCAATTAGGGGACTTTGAGACATTTAATAAAGGCGTTTAATGTAACACCAATTACAAACAGCGATTACGTCGTCTCGTGCCAACGAGCGCGCGGCGCCAACTTTGTTTCGGCGCTTTTTGTAGTGTGTGCGTAAGGGCGTAATCGAAAGCAATTATTTGTTTTTGCCCGTGCAGTTGGTACGTCACGCTTATGACGCGCGCTGCGTGCCGTATGTTGGCAGCCCCACTGTAAATTTATGGGTGCGCCGAGGTTGGCGCCACTGACGCGGTTTGTTGTTTCCCGTGTAATGAATGTTGCTCACGTCACGTTCCGTGTGTGCATGTGTGTGTGTGTGTGTGTGTGTGTGTGTGGGGCGCGAGAGTTTGAAAAGAAGAAAGGCCTATATGGGAACAGCTCGAAGCAGCGGGCACACAAAGGAAAATGCTTACTAAGATGGTGAACGTAGCGCGGAAACGAAAAAGTAAAATCGAAACTCTTTATCGATATATTTTTGCGAGCGAGCTAGGCGGCTGTTACCTATAGAATACGTACGCGAAGGCGAGGGTGTTTGTCGGTGAACGTAAATGTGTGTGCGTGTGTGTGTGTGTGTGCGCGCGCGCTTCCTCCGCCGGCAGCAGTTGGCACTCCTGGCCGTTTACATGCCAATGTTATCCCCATCTTTGTGTGCCCTAGGGCTGCCCTGACTCGGGGGCTCAAGTTTGTTTTCTGTTTCAGTCGTGGTACGACTACAAGCTGCGCTGGGAGCCCAAAGAGTACGGCGGCGTGCAGATGCTCCACGTGCCCTCGGACCACATCTGGAGACCTGACATCGTGCTGTACAATAAGTAAGTTGAGCCGCTTCCCTCATCCGCTTCCGTGCCGATACATTAATGAAAAAAAAACTTTCATCCGCAGTTCTTTTTTTTTACGGTTTCCAAACAGAAAAGTGCCGTATTTTATTTTTGATGATTTTTTTTGTGTGTTTCGACGAAAACAGCGGAAAAAATTGATGTGTGCGATGATCATGTCCAACTTCGTGTGCCAGACACCTCGAGACACCTTGTCCTCCAAGTTGCTTCTTTTTTTTTTTCAAAGTAACACTTCGTCTTTGTTTTGCAAATTCGCTGGCTGCGCTGGCTGCGCTGGCGCCCCGCCTGGCGCGCAGCCTTGCGGCCCACGGTGCCCTCCGCGGTGCCCTCCGCGGTGCCCTCCGCGGTGCCCTCGCGGTGCCCTCCGCGGTGCCCTCCGCGGTGCCCTCCGCGGTGCCCTCGTTAGCGGCTTCTTCGCCCCGACGAAGCGCCAAGCGCCAAGCCAAGGCATCAAATGTTAGTCGGCTCGAGACGCGAGTAGGGAAAGTGTACGCGGGCGGAATGGGGGCGGCCCACAGTGGGCCAGAGGACCGGCGGAGGTGCGGCCAAAACTCTAGACGCGTTTTGAGCTGCAGAGTCGCTAAATGGGACTCGAACCGAACGTGTGACCCCACCAATGGATTGCTCTCCGAACGAGGAATCCATTGGTGGGGTCACACGTTCGGTTCGAGTCGTATTCAGTGACTCCGGATCTCAACGGGTCTAGAGTTTTGGCCGCCTCCACCACCGGTCTTCTGGCCCACTGTGCGGCCAGCCAGCACTAGCCAGCAGGCCCTACAGTGCAGAGCCTGCAGACGAAAGGCGGAATTACAAACCGAGGGCTGCACCGACTCCTAGACCAGTGAAAAACAAACTTTCGCTGACAACTATTTCGCAATGACAAGGCGCTGGACCTGTTCCTGTCGGTATTCGTGTTCCCCGACGTTCCCCGTCCGACGGAACAACATCCTCAACACCTTCCAACGTGAGTTAGTAGTTTCTTCACGGCGCCCCAACTCCTCCAGGAATTCGTTCCACAACGGGGAGAGACTAAAGCGACGCGGCCTAGAGTCAAGTCGAACAACTCCCCCCACCCGCCACCCCCCGCCGCCGGCCGGAGAGGGCCTTCCCGCCTGAGTTTGCTCTTATTAATTAAGGGCCCTGCGTTCTCTGCCGAAAACTTCATGATGGTGATATACTTTTTCGGGCCAAACTTTTGCTCCGCCGCAGAGATAGTAGCCACTGTGGTACAGAATTACTCACTTTTCGTTTGCCACTCGGGTCGGCCCTGCCAAGGCTCTGGCCGCCCTGGCCAAGGCCCTGGCCGTTGCAATCCACGCGGAGCCTCGCGCGTCCATTTAGCGCTGCCGAGCGGTTCCGAAGAGTCGTTCTGTCTCTGTCGCACTCATCGGGACGTCTCATGGTGGGGACGAAACTATATACTACTCGGCATCGCCCGGCAGGACGGCGCGCTTTAGGAGTTACATCGAATCGGTCAAGATTGAGGGACGGCGCACAGTGGGCTGGAGGCGGCCAAAACCCTGCACGCGTTTTGAGCTCCAGTCTCGCTAAACAGGACTCGAACCGAACGTGTGCCCCATCAATGGATTCCTCATTGGTGGGGTCACTCGTTCGGTACGAGTCTAGTGAGTCTGGAGCTAAAAAACCGTCCGAGATTTTGACCGCCTCCACCGGCCTTCTGGCCCACTGTGCGGGCGTAAACCGCGTTTACGTAACATGTGGACTGAAGCGGGGCGGGGACCCTAATTGGTAGCGAGGGGCTTATTATTTTTTCAGCCGAGGCAGGGCCCCGCCGGGGCCGCGGCAGGCCGGGGTCCCGTTCGGGTGGCCGCGGTCGAAGCGACAGCGCGACAGCAGCCAGGGCTCGGAAAGGGAGGCGCGGCCGACAGACAGCTGCAGCCAGCCTAATCAGATGGGGCGGCCTTATCACTTGTAATTATTCCGAAGGCCTCTCGCCCGTCCGCTTCCGTCAGCTGTCGTTGCTCTGTGTGTCTCCTCCTTGTTTGCCCCCGTGCGAAACGCCGCGGCGACCCGTGAGCACCACTTCAGTCCCTTCAGCGCTCTCTCTCTTTCTCCCTCCCCTCCCTCCCTCCCTGTTTTTTCCTCGGGGAGACACTGGGGAGCCACGGTCCACGGCCCCAGCCACGCCCCACGCCGCCACTCACCACGACCTCGGCGGAGAGCCACACAGTGGCGCACCGCGCCCGACCCCGCAGCCCCGCCACGAGGCCCCGCAGTGCTCATGGCAGTCACGGTCATGACTGTCATCGCTAATGAGGCGAGTCTGGAATCATCACGAGACGGACGGCGACGACGGCGACGCACCCTGGAGTTGCCCGCGCTGCCCAGGGCCTGGGCGGAGGCCTGGGCCCTCAAGGCCGCCACCCTGCCTAGCAAACAACTCCAACTTTTGCTCCTTTCGGTTTAGTGGTGTGCTGGCTGCTGGCGGCGCTGGCGCAAGGGGTACCCACCTCAAGATAATCATCGCACGTCTTGTTGGTAATCAGTGAAATAATCAACATCATCCAATGAAATGACAATCATACTTTCGGGGATTCAATCACTTTTGACCATTTTTGTGAGACCACTGCTCCCAAAGTATCAGCGGTCAAAGCCTCCCCGAGGCGGGGAATAAAAGAGTAGGGTCTTCAGAATAGTAAGGCGTCGAGGGAGGCCTTTGACCGCAACTAAATTGGATGCAGTGACGGCTCAAAGTCAGCAAAAACGGTGATTTTCTGAAATTCATTCACTGTTTGACTATTTTTGCGAGACCACTGCTCCCAAATTATCAGCGGTCAAAGCCTTCCCGAGGCAGGGCATGAAAGAGTAGGGCAGTGGTTCTCAACCTTAGGGTCGCGACCCCAAGTGGGGTCGCGAAAAAAATTTAAGGGGTCGCGGCGAGGTAGCTGGGGTCGTGTTTTGGGCCGATTTTAAGCAGCCACTGCGTCTGATCCGAGGCGGGCATTTTGCTCCCTCAACCGGCAATTGGTCTTTGAACCTTCCTTTAGCATGCCTTTGTTACGGAGTGTGATTATCAGTCTTAGTTTGGGAGCAGTATTGTCTCAAAGTTTACCAAAACGGTCAGAAATGTCTTTGAAAAATCGTGTTTTGGGCCTATTTTAAGCAGCCACTGCGTCTGACCCGAGGCGGTATTTCGTCCTCCTTCAACGGGCAATTGGTCTTTTGGGAAATTCTTTTAGCATGCCTTGTTACGGAGTGTGATTATCAGTCTTAGTTTGGGAGCAGTATTGTCTCAAAGTTTGGGCCCAAACGCTCAGAAATGTCTTTGAAAAATCGTTGTGCCTGTTTGGTCAACTTTGAGACAATATGCTCCCAAACTAAGACTGATAATCGCATTCCGTAACAGAGGCATGCTAAAGGAAGGTCCAAAGAACAATTGCCCGTTGAGGGAGCAAAATGCCCGCCTCGGATCAGACGCAGTGGCTGCTAAAAGGGGTCCCATGGGTAAACTTTCCTGGGGGCCAACGGAAATTGGGTCCCAAATAAGACTGATATCGCACTCCGTAAAGGGGGAACCGCTGGAAGGGGCTTCAGAAATAGGCGTGGGAGAAAAGGCCTATGACCGGGGATGCTAAAGGATGGTGACCGTCAAAGTCGCAAAAACGTTTTTCCCGGGAAAATTTTTGTTTACTATTTTTGCGAGACCAGCCCAAAAAGGGAAACCCCCGGGTGGAGTAGGGGGCTTCAGAATAGTAAGGCGTCGAGAAAGGCCTATGACCGCAACTAAATTGGATGCAGTGACCGCTCAAAGTCAGCAAAAACGGTGATTTTCTGAAATTCATTCACTGTTTGACTATTTTTGCGAGACCACTGCTCCCAAATTATCAGCGGTCAAAGCCTTCCCGAGGCAAGGCATGAAAGAGTGGGGTCTTCAGAATAGTAAGGTGTCGAGGGAGGCCGTTGACCGCAACTAAATTGGATGCAGTGACCGCTCAAAGTCAGCAAAAACGGTGATTTTCTGAAATTCATTCACTGTTTGACTATTTTTGCGAGACCACTGCTCCCAAATTATCAGCGGTCAAAGCCTTCCCGAGGCAAGGCATGAAAGAGTGGGGTCTTCAAAATAGTAAGGCGTCGAGGGGGGCCTTTGACCGCAACTAAATTGGATGCAGTGACCGCTCAAAGTCAGCAAAAACGGTGATTTTCTGAAATTCATTCACTGTTTGACTATTTTTGCGAGACCACTGCTCCCAAATTATCAGCGGTCAAAGCCTTCCCGAGGCAAGGCATGAAAGAGTGGGGTCTTCAGAATAGTAAGGCGTCGAGGGGGGCCTTTGACCGCAACTAAATTGGATGCAGTGACCGCTCAAAGTCAGCAAAAACGGTGATTTTCTGAAATTCATTCACTGGGGGCTAGAGGTGAACGTTGCGGAGGCTGCTCTCACTACTCACGTCACTGGCTGCCAGTCCATGCCAGTCGCCCCGTTGTTGTATTGTCGCTGCGGTGCTGCGAGGCGCTGCGAGGCGCCGCGGCCCCCGCCTGCCTGCCACGGCACTGCCATGCCAGCCAGCCCGCCCGGCGTCAACAGGCAATTGTTTCGCACTTTGAAAGGCGCGCACCAAAAGATCTCCCAGAAGGATGGGGGGTCGTTCTGCGTCGCACGTCGCCCCGCGCCTGTGGCACGCTGCTGCAGGCGTGGCAGCAGGCGGAAAGAAGGGAAAGGAATAAAACGGAACGCGCCGTACACGGCGTTTGCTTTTCAACGGCTGGAGCGTGCCCCACCCACACCTTCCTCGCCTCCACCTGGCGGGCAGGCAGGCAGGCAGGCAGGCAGGCAGGCAGGCAGGCAGGCAGGCAGCCAGGCAGGCAACAGCAGGCGACGGGGCAGTGCCGAATCCCGGCCCAAGCCAGCCTCCCTCCCAGGCCTTCGATACAGCCGCCCGGTTTCTCATTAATTTCCCAGTAGAGCCTGGCGTAAGGGGTGGAGGGGAGGGGGAGGTGCACTGCGCACGGC